AGGAAATTTAAACTCAGTTAAATGTTGGGGGGGGAGCAGAAATTGATCTCAGCTGCAATACTTCTTATTTTAACACATACATATATCTTTCTGTAAGACATATTGAGGTGGGAGGGGGAATGGAACAACTCCATTGTTGTTCAGCTTTACTACTGCACAAATATAGTTTGAATAGCTTGGAATGAATTTAATATGATTTGCGTAACTTTTCCCAGCCATATGAGGGGCAGGGAGGTGGGGAATCTGGCAGCACAGACACACACAGAGGAGAGAAAGGTAGCTTCCATCAATACTAGTCACCAGGGTGAATCAGCTAGCCACACCCAGGCATTTCTGTTAGTTTAAGACTGGTAAACATGGCATAAAATAGAGACTCGCATAGATGGTCAACAACCACACACAATAGGTAGACTAAGACTTTTCCTTTGAGCTCTTTCATTGACTCTTACTCAGACCCTGCACTCAAAACAGTTTTCATTATTCCTCAACAACCTTCAGGACCCCATCATCCTGCTTCTGTTATACTTTTCCCCCTGCATAGGGCAGTTTTAGTCACACAGCAAGAGTGTGCTACAGAAAGAAGTGAGAGAATTCACACTTAAATTTCTTTAAACACATGGGCTCTCTGGCCAAAGCATGAGAAGGGTATATAAAAAGCAAGCAAAAGAGTCTCTCAAAACCAAAGAGAGAGAGAGAGAGAGAGAGCGCAGTCAAGAAGTAAAACCTTGTTTTGTTCATGATGTAGGTAAAACCATAACAGGCTTGGCCACTTGGTTGAAATATGGGCAACACCTGATCAGGCCACTGCAAAGACAACCATCTTTCACATCAGACCTCCTTCAAGGGGGTCCTACCATTCCTCATCACATCACTGATCTAGCTCATTACACAGCCCTGCTACAACTGAAAGGACATCACAGGAATCTCCAGTGCTGAGTCAGTACTAGGATTAGCTCTACATTACAGTAAGCAAAATTACCAGTTCATATCCTTATTCAATTTTAAATCAATGAGCTTATATTTCAGTCCGCATGGCCACATCACACAGCTACTTGCCTTTTTGTCTTGGGGGTTTAGCTGGTTCATTAGCATAGTCATATTTTCAGTATTCCAGATCCAAGAATTGCTTGTAAAGTATTCTACTAACATCATGGCCTTATGAAGACGTGTTATTGTTTTCATCATCCTACAGTCCAAGGCATGGAATGTACACGTTACAGCGGTAAAGATTAGTTCAAACAAAAAAACCCCAGACAGTAAGATTATAGATTTTTTTACCCTCCAGCCCCCCACCCCTATGTTAACATATCCCATCTTGCTCTGTACCCAAAGCATGTTATATTAGATCAACAGGATGTTTCTGCATATTATTAAAGGGGACTTTGGCTGTCTAATCTTTGTACAGAATGAGAACTTATAGGACAGTCCTTTTTTCCTATTCCTACTTCCCAGTGCAATAGTAAGTTTCTTCCCTAAAAAAAGAAGGGATGGTAAAATGTTGTCTTCTGTTGGTAACTCTTATTTTAGGACACAGACACAGAACACTTTCCACTTCACTGGAATATCTAGCTGTACTGAACAATTTGACTTGAAGAAAGAGTCAAACCATACAGTACAGAATATATGCACATGAAAACTAAGCACGGAAGTAAGTTTCCCTGCTCTTCCTCCATACTGTGCAAGACCAGATCTCTGTAACAAAACAAAATTCGTTTATTATGGACATTAAGAGATCAAGGCTTAACACTACCAGAAATATGGCTTAACCCTACTGCTTCTGCAGCAAAGGGCAGGAAAACATTTAAGGGCAGAGATAGACCATAGTAGACCCTGCTAGTTAGGTGATCAGTTCTATGGTACTTCAAAATATGCAGAAATACCTTCCATCATCCTTTATTATGCAGAGGAAGCAACTCTACAAAACCATCACTTGGAGTACAGAGAAATGATGTTATAAGGATCAATTTGGGCAAGTTTCTCTTTGATCAGACTATATGAAGTGGACCCAAAAAACGTGAGTCATCCGGTCTCTCAGATGCAAAGTTCCCAAATTTATGAAAATTGTTACAGTGCTGGAGACAGTCACTCGATTTTAATAAGTACTAACTAGTAGCACATAACCTAATGCCATTAAATTCCTGCTTTGGGTGCTAGAGGTATTTCCATCTCACAGAACTGCTTCCAACTTGATCCTTATAGCAGGATACACTGATTATTTTAAGCATGGGGGGAGGCAAAAAACCCAGAACAATCCAGCACTACAGAAAGCCATTTCCTGTAAGGTAAGTTTTGTTCAGCAAAGTTCATAGAAGCAATAAAAAAGCATTGATTTTTCTCTGAAAGCTACCTAGATGCATTCATACTTGTAGAAGGGATACAGCACATTGTCCCAGAAACTCTTCTAAATAAAGTATTTTGCATCACATTAGTGTCCCCTACTGTCACTAATAGCTGGCATCTCATTATTTAAGAGAATATCAAAATTGCCTCTTCTTCTTCTCATGAAATGGAGTAATAAATATTGCAGAGACCACTGAAAAAGTATAGTATCTCTAAAGCACAAAAAGCACAAATTTTTTCCTTAAACCCCACAGGAACATACCTACAGAATAAAATGCAGAGTTGTATTCAAATTTTAGTCTGCCAGCTAATTTTATTAGTAGCATTTCTAGATGCTTTCAAACACCAGTTTATAGTTTCACCAGTTGGGCAAGGCAGCAACAGTGGGAGTGGAGTTGAACCACAGTTCCTCTGATTCAAAAATAATTAGGAATACAGACTGTGCATCCAAAACATACCCTGGGCTAACAAGACTGAACTGAGCATGTAAAAAAGCCTAACAGCTAAGTAAAAAAAAAAAAATCAGAAAAGAACTGGGAACATGGAAAGCGAAGATCTCACTGGTCAGATAAGCCAGACAGACCTCATAGCAAAATGGCCTGGATAAAAATAGTGCCAAACAGGATACGATGGCTAAGTGCTTAGACTTTTTGCAGAGGTCTGTCCACTGACAGTCTTAAGATTATTTAACTTAGTTGATTTGCCCCTTTGTGCCTCCTCAATTTTTCTTATGATAACCTGGAAGAGCAGCTGAGTTTTAGTTAGAGTGCTTAGACTGCTACAGTTTAAGAAAACTTGTGCCCCTGCAAAATACTAAATGGTGCTAATGAATATCTGATTAGACAAGTGTAGAATTTGAGCTTGTTACTAGCCACTGACATCAGTTTTCACTCTTTTCTGTAAAAAAGAAACTAAACTAAATTTAAACTTACCTAACAACTAACCTCTGCTGAGAATCTTGCTGTCTCTGCTTATGGATATGGTTTTAGAGCTAAGCTGATTAAAAAACAGAATAAAAAAAAAATATCAAGTGGCTAAAGAGAGTTCTTCTACCACAGCTACAGACTTTTTCCCTCCCTCTAACTCAAACTGGATTTAGTGAATGGCCACAGAACCAGCTGATTCAATTAATCAGTGGAAAATGGGGGTTTTCTTCGTAATGTTAGTTTCTTGATATATTAGCCAAAAGAAACAAATGTCTCCATGTTCTCTCAACTGCTAGATCAGTTACAAAGCTGGCAGAAGAGTATCAACTTTCTTGGTGACAGCTTGTTAGTTTTCACTAAAACAACATGAAACTACACTTTTTTTTTTGAGAAGAAAAAGAAGTATGGTGACAGCCTCTCATATTCAGAGATGTCAGCAATGACTGTCATTTAGCGGACACTTGTGTCGCTCTGGCAGACTAAGTTTATTAACTTCAATGTCACCATATTCCTCCTGCAAATGGGAATACACACACAGCTCAAAACCCAGCATGAATACACATAATGGAACTTTATCTCTCAACCTGAAGTTTTGAAATACACATTTCACATGTTGTTCCAGAGATAGACATTGGATACAAGTCACAAATATCAAAGCCATGTATAACCAGCGAGTATAATATCAAGCATTGCATCACACCTTCTTCCTAAGCTGAAGACAGAAAAAAGTCAGACCTGCTGGTCATCATAAAGAACTGAACATTAGTGGCAGTCAGCAAGTCAGTGCGACAGCATGCAAGACTTCCACCTAGATACGAAGTAGAATTTTGCTTCTACTAGGCAGTCCTTACTGCCATTAACACAGAGTAAGTTACAACAGTTTGAGAACCACACCACAGGATTTAAAAGTTTTAAGGAACAGATAATTCTATTATCCTTAAGCTACAGTGGACATGTTTCTATACCAGACAATTGACAGCAACCTGGCTTAGGGTTATGACTATATTTTGAAGAAGTCTTACTATTGTCTCCATAGTAAAAACAGTTCTGATGCTAAATGCAGACCGATCCTTCAGTGGATCTACAGACTTCCAATCTGCAAGTCTCTGCATAAGCATTAGAGATAGTTAATTATATTTTCTTAAAAAGAAAACTCCTCTAACACACATAAAACAAGCTTTCAAATTTTCATTTGGCTGTAAATTTTGAAGTGTAAGACATACTACTGGAATTCTTATCTTTCCAGCAGTTCTGTGGTTCCTTTAAGTGCACAACTTAAAAGTGCTTTCAAGAGGAAAAATCATATTAATCTATTCAATGAAAGTGTAGTCTTTACTGATTTCTGGTTTGTAAGACAGTAACTATATGAAAGGTGCTTCATGTTAAGTTTTAAGAAGCTTTAAATTTAATGATAGATATGAAATTATGTCCTTTATACCTTCCCACATACATCAACCACACCTTCCCTTCAGCTTTCTAGGAAGCAGTAACCAAAAATGAATTGCTGGAGAAGTCCCTAAATTACAACTTTAAATACACATTCTATTCTTCCAGAGTAATTGGAAAGATCTGCTGGAAGTATATTTTTAAAGACTAAGATCTTAAACATACTGAATTGTTTCTAGATAATATCTGGTTCTGTTGTGCTAAGCACTATGCAAAGTTAAGAGAGAACTGTGCCTTACATTAAAGTTAGACAATTAATAAGCTTTGCTGTGCAACTAAGTATATATGGCAAGCTACTGACAACACTATCCTTAACTTGGATGCTAATGATTATCACCACTATTTATGTAATTGCACAACACTGTAACAGCCTTAAGTATTTAGTATAAAATATTAGCTCTTCATTATGTCAATCCTTAATGTACATGTTCTTTGCAAAAAAAATTAGAATAATTATTATATGCATTGTTTCTTCCTTCCCTTAACTGTTAATGTTATCAGAGAATTGTTAAATTCAAGAACCTCCAACTAGATGCAAAAACAGCAAAAAGATTTCCATCTCACTAAAAACATCACTTCCACAGATGAGGTACAAAAGAATGATTTCATACTGCAGAAAGATTTCAACAAACAAGTTTTCAAAAAACCCTGAACAGGAAGATTTTTAAAGTTGTTATTATTATGAACATGATTTAGTTCTGAAGGGTCGTAGGCCTGATCTATTACTTCCATTTCTTAAAAAATTCTCATTCAATTGCGGTACAATATCCTGATAGTATGACAACAGTGCAGTTAAATCTACACAGGAATTTCATTGCTTAGAGTTTTTCCTACATTGTATGCAATAAAGACCTCAGAAGTGTATTCAGACTCAGCACAGAGAGGGCAGGCTATTGACCACGTGAAGTCAAGTTTGCACAGTATTTGAATTTTCTCGTGCTGATTTTACTACATGTTTACTATATTGCCCACGTTTCTCTGCTAAATTGTGGTGGAAAAGATATTTTTGGTTTAAGCCAGCCCTTCTTCACTCAGAACAGCATTATATTGAGTTTAACAATCTCCAATTACGCTTCCAAGGCTTCAGAATTTTCCTAGTACTTCGAACCTGGTAATTAAAACCATTCTGTCAACTGGACAGAATGACCACAGCAACAGTAGCACATCCCTATAGCATGACTATCTCCAGCCCATCAGTTAAAGCACCTTTCAAAGTACTTTGAGCCAGAAGACTTTTTTTTAGACTCTTTTTTTAGAGTAAAGAGCTCTCTCAAATTTCTTCTATTATTGAAGAAATTATTATGATGAAGCCCATTACAATTTAACACTTCATGTCTTGCTTGCACCTATATATTCATTTGCTTCTAATACTACTATTGCAGACTCCCATTTTTTAAATGCTTAACAAAAAAAAAAAAAAAACCAAAAAAAAAAAGAGAAGAGCACTGTATAATGAAAGATATATTCCTGTAAGTGGGCTGGGTGTCAAGCTTAAAAGCTTTTCTTTCAAGTGCATTTGAGTAACCTTAGTGACTGAATGATAACTTGTTTTAGTTTAATCTCCCACCTTTCCTCCAAACTGGAAGATTTGTGCATGACAGAAAACTCACCCACCCACTGCTATATTAAACTAATCAGGAATACTCATATCAGTAATACTTCACAGGCTAGAAAATATGTATTTAATGTCACCAATCATACTAGTACTGATTAAAGTTCTAAACCCCATCTTTGGACATCAAGTAAGAACTTCAGGAAAAGCAAAAACAAGATTCAACATTCCCAGTGTTATAATATACAACTGCTAAGAGTGTTCTGAACAACATGATTATTCACAGCCTTTATACTCCCACTGGTCAAATACTTAAGACTAGACACCTTTTAAAGACTGACAGGATTCTGGCAGTACTACTTCCTAGCCATTTGAAAGACAGCAGGTTGGCATTTATAGTATAACTGTTTTTCATGAATGATGAAGTCTTCACATCTGTCAGGGAATTTCTATCAGTTTTTATTAATAACAAAATTGCAAAAACTAGGAACTTTTACGTTCAATAGCTTCTTTTGATCTGAAGAGCTTACATCTTTTTAGTGTGAGAAGATTACCATACAGGCACAGCCTCCTGCCACTACTGTTGCTGTGGCTATTATGCTATTGAGTCGGCTTGGAACAACAGAACCCAAGGCAGTTTAGAAGTTTCCTCCCACAAACCACTTACATGTCTTCCTTCTACTGATCCAGTGCCAAGTCTATTACATAACTTTTCCTAGACCTACTAGACCTAGACTACAGGACAAGGAATGAATACTCACTTGTGTTAATACACTGTCACCAGAGTGGAGAATTTTATAGAGTCTGAAGACAAATACTTTTGAAAACATAACATGCAATGAGTTAAGATCATAAGGCTTGGCAAATCTGAAACAAATTGAAGTGACATCTTATATTCCTTCTACATAATTTAGTTTAGCCTATTTAGCAGGGCTATGCTGTTTTCACTGCTTAAGAAGTTAGCCAGATACTAGTGTAAATATTATAAACTGAATAGAATGTTGAGTTGATACAAACCAACACACCAGATCAAGTTGCACCATCTATAGGAATAGCCCGCAATTATTAACGGTCTCCCATTCCATTTTCAGTTTATAACAGCAAAAACAATCTCAGTGCAAGCTACTTCCTAGGGTTCAGTGACTGACTTGGATTCTGATCTGAGGGATATCTTGGACAACATCGTTGAGCTAGTCGTTAATCTCTTAGAAATGCCACCACTGGATTGTTATTGCTTATAGTTAATAAATCTAGATAGCGCCTATGCTATGTCTTCTTTACAAGTCTCCACCACCTTACCAGCAAGATATTTTTAGCCCTGTCCTTCTTACCATCGTTTATGACCTGTCAATCTGAGCAAAAGATCGTGCAAAAATGCAGCCACTGTATGGCTGACTGCAGTCCAATACTGACACAAGAGGGGGTTGGATTTGAAACTAAAGTCAGGGTTCCCTACTGCACCTAACGGACTTATCTTGAAATTCAAATTTATAAGGATCAACATAGTTTGAATATTTATTATTCAAGAACAAACATCACTTGCTATATCTTGTAATTCTGTTTACCTTGACTACTCAAACCCCCAAACTATCCAACAAACACATCCTCAATTTTGCTAGAAAGTTCAAAGTCACTTTGAATTCAAGGACCTGTTCTCAGGGAAAAAAAGCTGAGTTTTAGTCACAAAGCATTCAGGGGAAGAAAAAAAAATATCAATATACATCATAGTGTAAGCATAGCTTTGTTTAAAAGTCAGAGGAACAGACAAGACAGAGCTAGTCACCATTACCTTGGGCTTCTTCCAGTAATCCTGAGGTAGATATCATACAGGAATGCTGGGGCCTTATGGCTTACAGCAATCCAGTACTGATATAAAAGGTGATTGGAAGTTAGATTTACATTGGGCCGTCTGAAGGCCTGTTCGAGAGGATTCCTCTTGAAAGTAGAAATTACATGGTATTCTGAGAAAGAAAAGTTGTGTAACAGCTTTGATAATAACCATGTAAAATTTAATGGTTTTCAAAGTACATTACAGTGTACAATATTTACTTCAGTAGGTTATTTAAATAGCCATCCTAGCTCTTCTACAATCCACAGAAACTAAAACAAAGTCATAAGCTTTTAACCTTAAATACTGTTAAACTGGTTTACTATAATCGAGAGCTCTTTTATGCCTTCATCTTCAGTATCATATTTTATTGTAGCTTCTCTCTTTCTGTTCCTCTTCCCCACCTTAGAAGTTGTTGATTTTAAAAATTCACAGCAATTTCCATTTATATAGCACGTAAAGCTATTTAAACAGTCATCTATATTTCATGAAGAAGGCTATTTTAATCTCTTGTGTGAAGAATAATTTAAAAACAGACTGAGGACTTTGCAGGCATCTGAAGTGCATTTCAAATGACATTTTTAAACAACTTAGCCATATTTAAACATTAAGAAAAAAGCAATTAGGATTGGACTCCTGCTAACACCTGAAAATTCTGTACATGACAGATATGCAGGATCAGTGTCTTAAAAAGTTATGTTGAAATTCACCTCATCTTTGTAATCATCTCTTGTAACTTTATGCTGTCATTATAGATGGTGTTTAAATAACCTGATTCAAATTGGGATATAAATGAAGTCAGCAATTTTCCAAGTCTGGCTGAAGCAATAAGGTTTATAAATACAGACACATATAAAATGGGCAACAGCATGTAAGAAGCATGGAGAAAATAGCCAAAAGAAATAAAATAGATTTAAGTATTTAAGTTAACTGAAGGAAAAAAAATAATCTGAGCTTAAGAACTATTTCTAAAAAATTGAAAGCTAACAAACAGCTTTACCATGCCAGTCAGCTTCTATTGCTATTCATAACAAAAACTATTACAAAGCTTTTGGCATGTCAGTTACGCTCTAGCCAGGATATTTAAGAGCTGAAAATAGGTGGCCATACTTTTCTAAAGATTACTTATCCCTGTACTTGAATAGTTGAAGTCTCATGTAGCTATCCAAAGATTAAAAGAGCCACCTCAACCAACAATTAACTTAAGCCAAACACAAAGAGCTACACAAGTGCAAAACTATTATCATACCTCTCAATTATGCAGATGTATAAAACATCCAATTGTGGGCTATTTATGCATATGTATTTAGTAAAGTTGGCATTAAACCCAACATCACTACTGCTTCTCTGAGCAAACCTTTTCTCTGCACACTATGCACACTCTGAAGGTTAGGTCATGGCAGCATCAAAACAGAAACATCAGTTCTCCCATAGTTTAAGTTGTAACGGAATAAAAAAAAAAATAAATAACAAAATGAAACAGTGATAATGCTACAAAGGGAGAGAAGTAACAATGGAAGAAGATGAAAAAGACAATACACTGCAAAATTGAGAGGTATGGCTTTATACTTGTTTCAACAATAAAAATGCAATATGACCTACTAATTATAGCCAGTGCTTTTATTATTTGGCCTTATTTTTCTATTAAAACTTATGAAAAAAAGAAACACTGCATACCAACTTCACCCCAGTGGAAAGGATTGGTGCCACCTGTAGTACAGTTATATACCATGACATTTCTTGGACTGGAGCGGGGAGAAACAAAAGAACACATTAGAAGACAACCAACCTTTTAAAAATAGAAACAAAAGACATACCCAAAGTTATCCTTTCCCTCAACAGCATAATTTACATAAAGCAGAAGGCATCAGTCCTATGCTAGATTTTTTGCTTCCTATATCATCTTCTAGTATTTTTCTCCTGTAACTATCACATTTCTTTCAGAGAAGGTGTCACCTACATCACTGTAGATTCTATCGATTACAACGTGACTCAGGAAAGAATTTTCAGGCATTGGACAACAGTATCTGTACGTGATGTCTTCCTCTTTGGCATAAGGAAGTTACACTTTGAGGGACTAATGCTGTTGCAACCTTAAATTCCTTCGTCCTGGAGGAATAGCAGGACACTAATTAAAAGTTCCATAGAAGACTGATTTATTACAATACACAAAATCATTTCAAAACATTTAGTACTCTCTATTGTCACCTATTATACCTATTAACTCCAGAATACCAGGCTGCAGCCAGTGCCGTATTGACAACAACGTCTACCGGAACAAGATCTGCTACTGCACTGTTGGAAGCTCTCATTGTTCGAAGAATTCCTTTTCCTGCCTTAAAGAACAAAACAACAAAAACAACAACAAAAAAAAAAAAAAAAAGAGACACAGAAGACCCACCAGTAAAACATATGAAGCTTTGTTGCCTTCCAAGATGAGGAAAAAAATTTAAGCACACTCATTACTTACAGCAATGAAGATACCACTAGGTCCATTGAAGTTATCAATCCATCCCTATTAAGAACAGGGGGAAGGGAAAAAGTTTGATTAGAGTATACTGAAGTCAGCAGTTTCAAGTGGAAAATTTGAAAACTTTCTACAAGTGTATTTTCTTTTTCCCTCCACCCCTTAAAGAGGAGAAATATATTAGTTTCTAAATATTCATGTCTCTAAATTAAGTTCTTCCATAGCAAAATCTGGTGATGCAACAAGTTGCTATGACTCAGACAAGAGATCTACCCACAGATTCACTGGTCCTTCAAAGTGAGATGCTAGCTTGTTTATTTCTTAGTGAATAAACTGCAGGGCATTGTCTGGATAAATATGTTTATGTTGAAAGTATTCAAGTTTACAAGCATTTTTAGACTAGCTTCTAGCAACTCACAGAAAACAGATAAGCAGTTTTGCTATCAATTATTCTTCATTTTTCAAACAGAAAACATTCTTGTTCATCTTTAATGACAGTATTTAGATGCTATATATTTATTGGTTTGACATACACATTGTATGTATTCAAAAAGGTAGGCAAAGTCAATCATATGGATTTTAAGAGCTTGAGACACATTCAGTCTTGAACTGAAGAAGGTATTCCAACACCAATCCCCCATATAGGAGGAAGCATATATGCTATTTATCAATACAGCATACAGTACATAGAGCTTATGGCATCCCCTGCAAAGCCTACAGGGTTTGACTAAAAGAATCAGTCAGAACACCTTTATGTCCTGTGGTCCCTAGTTTTCTTAGTCATCCTTCACAGCTACTGACATACCAAAGCACCTTGAAGAGGGAAAACCAGATGAAGATACACAGAATCATGAGAAAAAGCTAACCATTTATTTCATGCGTGAAATAGCATCTCCCATTGTGATAGAAGTTTATTGTTCTATGATTAGAAGTGATTTACCCCTAAATTTTCCACATAAGAATACTATATTTGGCAGCTTTTGTATCAGAGTTGTTATCAAGAATCAACCAAGCCACAACTTCATAGTCTAAAAGATTTTCCTCTATGAAGGTCACTAGATGAACAGGCTGTCAGTATGTACTACAGTTTACAGGCAAGACGGTCAGGTGAAAACTAAATGACTTACAGGAAAAGGCTCCTTCCAGCTAGCACCAACAATAGATGGCCTTATAATGGCTGTGTTTAATTTTGCACCTTCTTGTTGTACCACATATTCGGCTAAGGCTTTTGTATATATGTAAGTATTAGGTATGTCACCTATCAGTTTAGGAGTAATAACTTTCACTAGGCCATCATCCATCCACCTGAAGAAACAAAATAAGAGGCAAGTGTAAATTACTGCATGCTGCTTCACTGGGGGAAGGGGCAAAAGCAATACATAAAAAGGATAACCAGACAAATAAAAAATACTTCAGAAAGTAAAATAAAAACCCTATCTCTTCTTCAAAACACCACCTAAGACAAAAAAAAAAAAAAAAAAAAAACCTCAAAACCCACACTAAAACCACAAAAGCATTAGCATTCCCCTAGAAGCTGCATAAGCCCAGAGGAACAAGAAATTCTGTGAAGAAATTTAGCCAGTAATAAGAACCTCAGTTCTGTATTTCGTGTTTCTGCAACCCCAGTATCTAACAATAAGCTAGTACACTTTAAGTCACAGCTTGATTTTCAGAATTTAACACCAACTCACACTGAAGTTAGCATGTCACATACTTTTTTTCTACTTTACAACTTCCAGCTGTTTAAAACATTTCCACAAGCATTTGCATATCAAACAATAGATGTTTGCTGACAGCTTATACTGCACAACTTTAACACCACATAGCCTCCTAAAATACCATTCAGAAGAATGTAAGTGTTAGGGTTTTTCTGCTTATTTCAACTGAAAGCCAATGCCAGAGGCCAGAAAAATCAAGTTTAATAGAGCCTGTCTATTATTCTTTTTGATTATACACTACTATTTAAATTAAGGCGGCAACTGCGTATGTAGAACCCTTCTGAAAAGGGACCTTAAGGAAGAATGTTATATTTGAGATCCTACAGCAAGCAGTACAGTTAGGTTGGTTTAAGGACACTACTACCAACGTACAGAAGACTGTTTATATTGACTTTATGCTCATTTTGTTTCAAATTAAGCCATAAAACCTAAACATTTGAAAGTAAATGCCAAGAACAAAACAAAACAAAAAAACCTTTCACCAGAACATGTGCACAGTTCCAAAAGTATTTTGGAACTATTTCATAGGGTGTACTGTAGAAAGCAAGTATGTTTATGAACTTGTTAAATAGTCAATCTTTTTTTGTTTCTTTTGTTGGTAAAGTTACCATGATTTTTTTTTCTCCTTTAAAGAAAAAGGGATACAGACTCAAATGAAAACAAGTTTCTCAGTAAAATAGAGGGGGATGGCATATTCAGTGTTCACTGAAAGAAGCATGTTGCCATTTACTTTTTTGCCCAGGTTATTCATTTATTACACATCAACTATAGAACAAGTAGTACATTCCTTTACAATAACCCTACTTCTACAAATTAAGTTCTCAAACGTGAAGTGCAAACACAGCAAGTTAGCATTTGGGACACAAGCACACTGCCCCAGGTGATGCCACTGGAAAGGAGTCCCAGCTGCATTATAAGCGTCACCTCCACCTTTATGGCATTGCAATCCCACACCTCTGAAGCAAACCAGGCCACTATGTTTCTCCCCTTAATTTAGTTAAGTCTTGCAATTTCATCTTGCTTCCCAATTCATTCAGCAGTTTGTATTTAAAATTGTAGTAATCTTCAGTCATAGCACACAAGCGCAACAGAGGTGCGCCTCTTGAACTATGGCTGCTTCGCTGTTCTCTACTTCAAAACAGGTCTTGGACTTTAATTTGCCTCAGCCACGTAAGTGGAATTTAGCCAACGTTATTATTCTTACTCACCAATGTCCTGTTACAATCAAAGCTGACATGCATCAGACTGTCTCCATGATATGAATTGGGGTGGGAAGAGGGATAGAAAAGCCCAGAAGGGGACACAAATCTGTTTCTATGTGTCTCAGTCAGCTGTTGGCTAGAGAGATCACTCTTGTGTAAGTTTACAAAAGCTTTCCCTCATTGCCATGAGTTCTAAAATACAGACAACTGTCCAAGCCCAAACCAAGCAGTTTAATTTATATTTATCCTGCTTGTGAAAAGACACACAAAAATATGACTATTTCAGAATATCTCATTTGAAAGTATATTTAAAGTCAACATTATAAAACCAGGTCAGCTCAATGTGCAATCTAGGTAATAGCTCATTTGTTTTTAATGTTAGTGCTCTTCCATCTACAATAACAAGTTAAAGAAGATATTTTACTTCTTAATTAGTTATTTTTGGTTCCATACCTCTCTTACAAGGGGTGATATTTTATATTACGGGAAAGAAGGGAGAGACTGATTTAGAGAGAAGATTATTATTTATTACACTACACTTGACTTATCCCATATTTGCCACCTGTTTCAGTTATTGTTTGACAGCTACTAAATAAGACCTCAGGACAGCTAATATACGTAGAAAATAAAACGTAGAATGAGTAATTTTTTTCCCCCAGTAATGCCCAAATCAAGACTAAAAAGGTACAGAAACAGATTTTTAACGTTTGTAGTGTTTCTGAGCAGTTAAGTAATATTTCAGTATCTCAGACTGATCTGGCTATGGCATTTAGGTGAATGTAGTGGAGGCTGCTGTTAAAGGGGACTGTCTTGTTTTTATCCCTTTCCTTCATGATGCCTGCGCTAACATACTTGTAACAGCACAGCTTTTTTGTTTGTACTAGCTCCTGATTCAGCTCATCATACAGCTGAAAAACTGCCACTCTCGGCATATAGGAGGCATCATGAATAGATATGCGCATCCCCCTCCTTCAGTACTACTCCACACCTAGCTCAGCTGACAGGGACCATAAAACCTTAGCCCATCTCCTTTACAGAAAAGGGAAGTGTCAGCCAAGTTGTCAGACTTAGAGGACAGCATAAGCTAATTTCTTCATCTTTCAGGTTGCTAAACATTTTTGGTACTTCATTTGGTGCTTCATTACTAGAAAGCAAGTGGTTACAGATTACTGAAGTAGCTTCATAAAACATAATACATACTCAAGAGAATCTATCAGTTTCCTGGGATCAACAGGAGGTGGATAAACTACTTCCTCAATCTGTTTTCGATTGCAATATGCAAAGGCAGTTGAAACGTGCGTGAACACTTCCAGATTCTTCATTCGCTGTGCCAAGAAGAGGAGCTGTTGTGTGGCAGCCACATTTAACTGAACAGCATCTCTGTTGATTAAACAGAAATTGGATTAGCAGAAAGCAAGGCAAGAACAAGCAAAAAGAAATAACTAGTCAATTAATTCCTAAATGCTTCAGTAATGGGTATACAGAATATTCCTAAACACCCCATCCTCCTCAAAAAAGCATCATAGACAGTATCCTAAATTTCTACTCAAAACAATATGCCACGGTCTTAATCTAGAACATCTCTCAATGTTCAGGATAATTTTCCTAAGTTTTACCCTGTCCTTATTGTCATCCTCACAACCCATTAATAGTGGGAAAGTCAGCATACCTTTAAGCTCCTCAAGCTAAATCCCAATCCTACATTTTTAATAAAATGTTAAGGAAATAATATACCTAGCTGCCACATGAGATGCATACCAGTTTTAACAGCATCTCTGAACTTCCTAGTTCAACTTGAGTTAGGTCAACAGCTCAGAAGGAAGGCTCAGAAGGCTAGTAAATTGGCGACTGGCATCTTCTTGTAGGACAGCACAAGGCTCAATAGCTCAACAGGATTACTGAAGGGGGCAGGGAAGGAGGCAAAAGGAAAGCCACCAAGAACCACACTTTCATCCTCCAACTTCATTGCTACTCATTAAGATAGAGTCATTATATTAAGGACACTGTAGGAGAGCAGGTATATCTCTACAATTCCCACCAGAACACAGCTTACTGACCTTCTTAATGAAGGACTTTCTGAAGACATGGAGAAAGCTGAGCAATATTTAATCTGTTTGTTCATCAGGTAGAGAGCAAGTGCTAGAACTTTAGAACTTTCCCCATGTACAGTTTTGTCAAAAAGTTATCCGCTGAAAATGTGCATTCCCCTTCTAACAAGGAAGGCCAAAGGAATAGTTTGTGTTCCTTATTACACACAAGGAAAAAAAAGCCCTAACATTACTGGTGAGCACAGTACATATAGCTACAGCTTATTCATATCCTTTCTAGCCGTCCCAGAAATCAGAACAACACATGATGTTAGGAAGACTCAGAATAGCAACATGTTCCCTAGTCTCTTCAGCAGCTTCTCTTCAAAATGACTTCCGAAATCCAGGCAGAGGGATTTAGTTTAAAAAAAACCAAACAAAAAACAAAAAACAAAAAAAACACCTCACACCAACCAAAAAAACCCCAAGGAAAAACCCCCACACCAAACACATAAAACCTAAGGGGCCTGTAACAAAAGTACAGAAATAATTTACTTAGTTTTTAAGTGCTAATAATGGATTTGTCTTTTTGCCTAAAGCTTTAAAAAGATACAAACTTTTCCATGTTGAGTAGTGTAATTATAAACTCTGGCAAAGCAGGTTTAAATAGTATGCCTCCATCTTTCCAAGAAGAGAAATGAAAAGCCAACAGCTTAAGATAAGTTTTAGAGAAAAGATTATTACCTGAAGGGGCATCATGAATTGACCAAGCACACAAGACATCAGAGTACATGAAGTAGCCTGACAGTCTGAATATTTGCAAGATTGTGGAGACACCCGATTTATCCCCTCCCTTTGAGTACCATTGGTTTACCAGAGCATACAGAACTGTAGACTTACCTTAGTGTTTCATTGAATCTGACTGTAGCAGCACAATGAAATATAATATTAATGCATTCTATAAGTTCTTCCTTGATTGATTCACTAAGGTCCAGTTCAGGCTGTGTAAGTTCGCTCGTAATGACTATTATTTTTGCTCTGAAGTCTGGCTGCTCATCTCTCAACCTGTCAAAAAGCTGCCAAAAAAACAGGACTAAAAATTCAAACTAATAGCCAGTGAAGATAACAGGTACATGTTTCATTTAAGTGAAGAAAACCCCCACATCTTCTGCCTATACAGAGTTATACTGATGATCTTGAGAAGCAAGGAAGTTCGGAAAGTGCATTAGGAATACTACAACATGTTACTGACTTCCCATGAACACATTCAGCAATGAAGCTGTGCGCACTTTATCCCATATAGTGAAAGCAGCATTGCATGTGTTGTACAGAAGGTAATAAGACTTCAATTTGCACTTAAATTTTTTTTTAACACTCACCGCTATCCTTAAAACCAGATCTCTATCAATATCACAAGAAAGAAGGAATAGTCTCTGTTAGATACCAGGACTCAAAGAAATCTTAAGTGGCAGTCTACATACTATAATCTCTTTTTCTTTCAACAGAAGGAAAAGTCTGCCCACTTCCTAAGCTTGGTAATAACTATTCAAATCCTCACAGACTTGCACAAGTCATGCTGGTTTTTAGGTCTAGAAAGCTTTCATCAAGCTTCAAAAAATGTCCAGTGAGTCAGGGAATTCTCTCCTGGAATTATGCCAGTTTGGGGGAACTTCCAGATGAAAAAATTTTTTCTCTGGCTAGTTAAAAGAAAAAGGCAGGGTTAAAGGTTGTGTACCATGTTAGAACATCTGACCAGGTCTTATCAAATTGCTATTCAACTACTCTCACTGAAAAAAAAAAAAAAAAAATCTCATCCATATTATATTCCATCATATATTCTCCTCATAATTAACTGGGTTCTAACCATGTGGCTTAACACACACAGATAAAAATTCTTGCCTCACCTTATTTACACTCATTAGTACACAAGCTTTCTTGAGCAAAATAGTACTGTGGGAATAAAATACACTTGAAGTTTCACCAGATCAGACCCCTCTTCTTGATTGTACAGGGGATGATACCTTAGCAACTGCTTTAATACAAGTTAATTAAAATGTATTAAAAGTACAGCAGTACCTTTTTTCTCTCCAAGCATGCAGTTTTACTGAACGCAAATAGTTAAAAGACATTTCCTTACAGAATGAAGTCAACTAATTTTCAACTATAAGTTAAGTCACCTTAAGTAAGTACAGTTTCATGACTCTTAAGGCAATACAAGTCTGTACTGCTACCAAACAAATTGATCCCTCTAACTTCATTTCCATGTTGCTTCTCCTTTACTGGCAATAGCAAGTAGCCTGATTGCTGCATGAGTGTACACACTTGCAGCTGAAAAAATAGGGGGATTTGTAGATATTTTTTCAGCTCAGCTGTGAGCTAATGCAGCTCACTGTGTGGCCACCTAAAGTAGCAGTGGTAGTGCTATAGTAAGAACATGGGACATCTCCGGTGACAGAGGTCTTGATTTCCCAAACATGAAGCTTCACGTTAAAGGACAAAGGTGCCAACACAGCATTTAAGGCCTCTGCAATTCTTAGTTCATATGGTACAGCAAACAGTGCTTGCCTAAGGGCAGGAAGCCTTTTGTCATTTTGAAAATAAATCTGCTGTGTTTTTAGTTGGAATGATGATGCCTGCCTCCAGGGAACTGAAGCAACTATCTTTTAACCACATTCATGTGTGGTACACATTATAATAGAAAAGCAGTCCCGTGGTTAAGCACATAAACAAAGAACCAGTTTGATACTTTTAGTTTGTACGTTGTATCCGTTCTGCCCCTTTTCACGTCCATAGCCCTACATTATTCCTACATACCTCATACTAGCACTGACACCAGTATATAGCGGAACAAGAACAAACACCTAGAGCACATGCACTACATATGGCAAATTATCAGAGGAATTAGATATCTGAAGTCCAAACCTCAACAATTTTAGCTATTTGCAGCTCAATTTCTTTTAATTATCACATTTACCCATTGCAATTTTGAACTCTTCAATGTCCAAGACCTCTGTAGAACACTTAACGAGCCCATCCAAATTGTGAAAAATTACTGGCAGGGCCCTTGTAAGTGGACAACTTAAGACAACATATCCTATTAAAAATTTTCATAGTCTTTCAGAGGAATCTTTATTACATGGATGCCAATTAAACAATACACTTTTAATCTGTCTCACCATGTGATGAGGACAGAACAAGCATCTTGCCCTTTCTTGCCCTTGCATAGAAGTCCAACACCGTCTCTTTATGCTCTCACTCTAGGGACTAAGATGTAGGACTACCTCAAGCAGCAGTCCTCCTTACCAGGACGTCTGTTGTGAAGCTGTTTCAGCAATAAGCACTCACTAAGACTCATAAAACACATCAGATGGTACCAATTCCTGCCGAGGTAACACTGTAACCAGAAGATTTGGACCCAGACTGAAAAGCCTTTTACAACATGCGAGTTTCCCAAAAGCTATACTGAAGCTTACGTCTTACTGAAGTTTAAGTCGGCCTTACTGCTACTCTCCCCCTGCCTGAATATCCCCCACTTTTTATTTGGGTAATAGTGTATATGAAAAGGGGACTGAGAAACTTTTTCTCCTTTCTCATCTCAGAGCTTAGTCTTTTCCTTGTTTCAGGGAGTGACAAACTGAGGGTTTTATGTAGAGAGAACTTGTGACTTGATTTTAAGACAGAACCCCACTGTAACTCATTCTGCTGCATTCTATGACAGTGCACAGGACTGCAAGCAGATGCTTTTGAGCAATGAGCTGGAGTTTTGACATGGTTACAGAAAACAGTTTACTAGGAACACAGCCATCCTCACGTCTGCTGTAATCTTAACTAGTCAAGAGTTGTAGAAATTCATTGCCTTACTTTAAAACAACTTACCCCTCCCTAGCCTAAGTGCATTCACGCTTTCTTATGGATTCCCTTTAAGCATCTTCTAAGCACACACTGTGTAGAGACTACATTGCATCTCAACATATTTCCTAAGCCTGAAAAATTAAACTGCCAACTCCCATGTCCCATTAAGAGAAAGACCTGGATAGAAATAAACTCTGCTTTAGCAAAGTTCGTGCTAGACATCTTTCCCCTTCCTGTTCATCCTTCTCATCATAAACGGGATAGTCTGTATGGGCAACATTGACAGATGGTTCTGCATGCAGTAAGAATGCCCAGCCTACCTCACCAGAATATTAAGGATTATAATGAGTCTTTTCAGGAGGAAAGTATCCCACCCAGCACACAAAGAAAATTGTTTAGATAACTACTTTGATACTTCCACAGCACAGAATTTCAGTGCCGTGCCTTTGTTGTCACAGGTTTACAGTAATCTGTATGACTAATAGAAATCTGTAATAGAATCTATTAAGACAAACATTTATGTTCTGTTTACAAACAAAAGCTATTTAAACAACCTGTTAGATCACATATTCCTGCTTACTCTTAGATCCAATAGTGCATTCAAGAAAGAGGAAGTGCCAAGCCTCATCTTACAGAAAAGAAAATAAGGCAGAAGGAGAAAAAGTGACTTGCTCGAGATCTAAAGAAGAGACTCAATCCCATCTTACAACTCCCAGTCCACACCACCTCTTGCGCTTAATTATACATTCTCTTAACAAGTTTAAATTCAGGCGTTTTACTTCTCAGTACTGCATTACAGCTGAACATCCTCCTCCTGAATTAAATACAGGATAATTTTCCACCACCAGCTTTGCTAGACACTAACAGCTTGAAAACCAGTCATAGAAGCACTGCCAGGTCTTGGATTTTATATTTCTGTTAGAAAAAAACACATTTAACAACAGTATTTTTCTTCAAGACAAACCAAAGTTGTTCTCAAATCGAAATAGGAACATTATTAAAAAAGTACAAAAATGTACTTTGTGAGCATATGACACATACCTTACAGCTGGTAATTTCTTCTACTCGTGCTTCAGGTGTCTGCCCTGCTTTGTGTCTTACCAATACATACACTGCTTTCACTTTAGGACAAGATCTGAGCAGCTTTTCCAGAAGCACTTTTCCCACAAAGCCTGTAGCTCCTGTCAGGAGGACGTTCTTTCCTTCATAGTATTCAGGGATGGAAACCATTATGACCTTAATAAAAGTTGAAGACAAAAGTATATTAAAGAACTTCTAGGAGTTCAGATTTGCAGAATATATAAATAAACGGCACAGATGCAAACATTCAACCTCATACCTGAAAGAAATGCTTACAGCTATTTTTTACCTATAGCCTGTACTTAAAGATGTCTTTTTTAACCACATTCCAAAGGAGTCCCACAGGGTCACTATAGTCATCCCAGATCTTCTTGTAAACTGCCCCTGTTAACAGTGTCTTAAGGAATTAGACACCCACTCAGTCTAGGAAAACAGCTCAACTTCAGTCTATTTTTATCTCTATGTGCATAGTCCTTTACCACTCTAAGTGGCTGTTCCATGTAAATTAAAGGTCATATCATTAAAATATAATCACAAGTAGATACTTCAAATATGTTGACAGAAGACAGGGAGCCAGGCATCTGCCAGTTGCTGACCCTGGTATTTTGCCTGTGTCAGCCGAGTCCCCTGTCCCCCCTACAAACATTGCTAGGACAGAGAGAAGGTAAAGCCAGTTTCTTGCTATGAGACCTGCTGGTTCTACATTGATTACCAAAAAAAGCATACAGTTTCACAGATGATACAGGTTTCCAACCTTTTCATCAATCAAGTATTTTTTTTCCCCAAATAAGTGCTTAGAATTCTCACACAAACCAAAGATTCAAGTTAGTCACAAATATGCCTCCTAATGAAACAAAGGACAAGGGATTGTTAGTCAAAACCAGCACAAAGTGTTGTAGGTGTTGCTTCAGTTAGGAAGTTAACTATGAGAATTATTATTTCTTTCCCCTCCTTAATCAACTGCTTGGAGATTATGTCTAATTCTAGAAACTGGAAGACTGTCTAAGGACAAATACACTGCTATTTTTTACACTGATGTGGTCTTTGGACTGTGACCCTTGTGACCTTTAGAACTCAAACTGTGCCTCAAGCTAACTTTGAGCCATTCTGTTAAGTCCGATATAGCAACATCTTTACTGCAACAGCTTACTTACTGGGATTGTGAGGGACCTGCCTAGAAGCACCAAATTTGAATCAAGGGTAAAAACCTTGTATTGATCTAGATGTGAACGAAGAAAAGTCCAAAAAGCAGCAGCTTATGTTTTGCCCTACTAGAAGGATGGGTTATCTCAACTCCAGGAAAGGTAAAGAATGTTGCCATTCTCCACCTACCTTTCCCTGCCTTCTCTGAGAATGCATCTCCACATGCCAGTTAGCATAGCATTGTTGGCAACTCCTAATTTCAAGCTCAGAAGGGACTGATCTCACAGGTACGATATGTTGCCTGTGTTACTATTTGAAGTTATTTATGGCAGCAAATTACAGAACTACCTCATAACTGTGATTTTAAACAAAAAAAAAAAGTTAAGACATAGATGTGGTTTCCAGTGGAAATTTAGTTTGGCCTCTAAAAGGCTGGAGTAGGTCCAGAAAAAGATACCTACCTTGCAACATAGCAAAATCAAATTTAGCATTTTAAGGTTAATATTTAAGTGTCAGCAATCATTTTATCTAGTTTTAGACTGCCACTTCTTGCACGTCTGCAATAGCTGAATTGTAGCTATTAACCAGCAATACATATTTTCACCAGTTGTCCAATGACCCATTAACAGCTACCTCTTCAAACACGCAGACAGGTAACTCCTACCAAACACAAAATTGTCTAATGCACATTTTGGAGTATCTGAATCCCTGTATTGCAGATACTTTGAGCTAGTAAGTAATAACAGTCAAGAAAAAGAAACCTGACAGTTAAAAGGATTAATAAGAGTTCTGTAAAGGACTCTTGCTCTAGCACGGGGATGATCAAAATTACCAAATGACTTGTAGGGATAAGCAGCCTTTGGCAGAGGAAGCTTCTAGTAGGCTGCTACAAAGAAACTAATGCCAGGATACTTCCGAATTCACAGGTTCAGGACTAAACCAACGGTGACACTTTGAAGATACTGCTTGTTTGAAGGGTGCTGTCCTTTGATACCTCAAGATCTCCTAAGCAATTCAGTAAAAAAAAAAAACCAAACACCACACAAAAGCAACATACCACCCCAACTCCAGGATCCTAGCCAACATTCCCAATCCTGTAAAAAAATTCTAGTGTCGAAGGCTGAGCAAGTGCTATTATGGAACAAACAACGGCAGCTCTGTTTGCCTTCAGAGCTACTGCAGCAGTATTTAACTCATTGCTTCAAACAGAGGTCTCTGACTCTCAAAAGAAGAACAATTCTGTTTTTAACAGGAAAAAAGATCAATTCTCAGATTTGTCCCAAGATCGAGATGCTTAAAGATTTGCCTTCCAAGTGCCAGGAAAGCCTGC